GCATCTGCATTCAAATTTCCAAGGACCATAACACTGAGGTCTGTTGTACTTGTGTCACTGTCTAAAACAGTTATTGTGTCTACAGTCAGACGTTTCTTGGAGTGTTCTAAGAGAAAAAATAAATTTCCATTTGGGAGTATGAGTTCTGGATCATCATTTATTGGTCTTACTGTAATGGTAAACATATAATCCTTGTTTCCTTTCAAATATGGAGGCATCTCTTTCTTGCTGCTTGTAGAAATGGAAAAAGTGAAATAATCATAGCTTTCCTCAGAACCATCATGGACATACAAAACTCTTCCTTGCCACAAGTCTAGCATGGTAAATGTGGACTCTTCCTGCTCTGGCTCAACATTCAACTTCAAATGGCCATGGGAAGGCTGGTTTTTAATTTTAAAAACAATCTGTGACTGGCGAATGCCTAGTTTTTTGAATTCTACATTGACTTTAATATGCTTAGATTCAAGAGTTGCTTGCCCACCTTCAGGGACAATTAAGTTGTTGACAATCAAAAAGTGGTCATGACTCTCTTTCCCATGGAATTTGGAGACTGCAGTGTCAGTATCAGAAACAGGAGCTGCTATTCCAACAGGTGCTGCAACAATATTTGTAGTAAGGTTGCTCTCTGATTTGCATCCTACTGAAATATCCTTAGTGACAAGAACATTCTTCAAGGTCTTCTTTTGGAAGTCCATTTTCAAATCTCTCAAGCATCCTCTAAATGATCCTCCTTCGGCATGCCTCCCTGAAACTGAGGCTAATCGTAGCTTCAGCACTTCCGCCCGGACAGCATCGTTTATTCCACCTATATAAAGGGCTCCCTTAAGAACAGGAAGTTTACTCTGCGAGGGCAAAGATATGTTTACTGTTTCCTTTTCTAGCATGAGTTCAATATATTTTGCAGAAAATTTCAGTTCAACAGAGTGCCAGCGGTTATCATTGACTGGGGTGAGAGAAGAAAGCTGAATTCTGTCCTTCCCTTTTCCAATATGAATTTTAATGAGACCATTTTCAATTTCCATTGCAGCAAAGTCTCCCCCTGGGCCAGAACTGTAGAACAACAAGCCTCTCTGAGCTGTGGTTTGCACCAAAAACTCCAAGACTCCTCCTGGCTGGACATTCCACAAAGGAAACGAAACATATGACTTGGAGCTAAAGAAATTAATGGGTTCTTCTTCACTTGCAAAAAATTCATCACTGCAGCTCAGTGAGACTTCATGAATATTTTTAAATCTAGGAGAAGGTCTCAGGAAGGTTAGGATGTCATAGCTGTTAAATATCACATCATCAATACATCCCCGGAAATTAGTTTGAGCACCATCGAGGTAAGGGGCATCAAAGTTTCCACTCCCACCAAGATAGATACCATATTCAAGCTTTAGTTCAGGCAGAACTCCTGGCCATTTTGCACTAACTTGATACTTTTTGTCAATAACTAGAGTCATCTTATCTCCTTCAGGATGCACTTCTACAAGGTGCCACATCAGATCATTCATTTGAGAACTCCATTGGGAAAGGAGAACTTGCTTGCCTGCTCCAACATTGATTGTGACCTGCAAAAAGAGATATAATTGAAATCATTCAAATGAGGCATATAAATTAACAACAAGATAATTAAATGACTTGTACACACATAACATTCTCCTCCAACCACTGTGTTTGGGAACAGAGGGAGCCCTAAATTCAGACTATTATGGGACCAGGTGACATGAATGGAATATGCATGGCTAGTTCTAATGTAAGGGTTAATCATGGTTTAGCATGCTGAGAAAAAGGTATAGTGATAATTGGGCTTGTGTATCCCCATGCCACTCTCCTGTCTTGAATGTAAAAAAGGACTGAGAGAACTGCAGCCCTGCATGTGGCCCATGGGTTGACAGACTCCACCAAAACTTTCATTTTGCTCCCAAATGGCCAGTATGCCCTTCTAAGCTTCTAGGGTGCTACTGACCACTTTGATGTGTTTTGGGGGCCTTTTGTTCCTATCCCAATTTTTAAGGCTCTAGATCAGGGGTAGGCAACCTTTCCCTTTAAGGGCCGAGGGACTTCAGCTCCCAGAAGCCTCAGCCATGTTGGCCAATGGTCCCATGTTGACCAATAGCTCCTGGCATTCTGGGAGCTGAAGTCCCTTGGCCCTTAAAGGGGAAAGGTTGCCTACCCCTGCTCTAGATGGGGCTTTCTGCCAAGCTGCAAGCCCATCTGCACTCACTAAGTAGGCCCTCTAACCCTAGAATGTATCCTGGGAGATGACATAGCCATCAGCACTCAGAGGGCAAGAATTTTAGACTACAGTGTGTCTCTAGGCTTGGACTGGTTGGGGGGGGTTAGATAAAAAGGACATGAAACAACAAAATGCCCCCGCTTCCAGAGGCTTTTGAAAGTGTCCTTGGTCATTCTGAAGGCAAAGTAACAACTGAATCTCTCTCTACACACACACACACTTTGGCTGTGTGTGAAAATGAGTGGATGTAGCCCGCCAGGGTCTTGCAGGGGGCCAATATAGCTGTCCAATCTTGGTCACTATTCCATCACTAACAAAGGGAGGAGATTAATGGCTTTCACCTGCACATTTGACTAAACCTAGTTTCCTATTGTATTTGCATTTGGAAAACAGCTCCAGCAGCTCCCACTGCCACTACTTGGATGGGATACACCGGGAAAATTTGTTTATTCTAACTATTTGTTTCAAACAATTTTGGATCAAACCATGGTTTCAGAACCTGGTGTGTCTTGAGTTTAGACATGATGAGAAATTTTTCAGTTTCCTCCCTCAAAGGAGATGAAGATAGGAAGAGAGAGCAAGAGAACTTGGGATGAGCCATGGTGCATTCATCTAATGCAAAACCATGGTTCAGCATTTGGTTTGAACCAGCTGGTGTCAGAAAGGAATACACTACTTTAAAAAGCTTTTAAAACTTGACAGCTTAAAAAAAACCAGAATGGTGGGATATAAATATTTCATATTAATCAATAATTAAAATATAAATAATAAAATGTTTCAAATTGTATTTATTGTAGTTTTAGACTATTATGCACACAGATGCATCTAGTACTTAGCACTCATAACTTAATCTAAAACTCTACTAATTGCAAACTGAACATGCTTCTCTTTATTATTTATGTATGTTTTAATATAGCATCATCCATTCACTATCCTTGACATAATATAACTATCTATCTTTGCAGACTGCTAGAAATAGTGCAAATTGAGTCCACTTTAACTGCTCTGTCTCAGTGCTAGGGAATCATGGGAATTGTATTTTTTTTAAAACATTGAGCCTTCTCTGTCAGAGAGCTCTGGTGCCACAATAAACTACAGTTCCCATGATTCCTTAGCACTGAGTCAGGGCAGTTAAAGTGGACTCAATTTACACTATTTCTGGCAGTCTGCAAAGGCCCTAAATGTATTAGCACTGATAAAACTCAAAAGTTCTGTATCTTTTAGTTTCTGTCACCATTTGTTAAAAATACTTTGGAATGTACTACTGAGCTAAATAGGTGAATGTTTCAGTTCATTTCAGTACATGTTAGCTTTGTATGTTCATAATCTTACATGTACATTTCCAGAACGTAATTCCACCAGAAAATACATTTCTTTTCCTGCAGCAAGAAAAAGTAATCCATCTGGTTTACTGGTTAGAAAACGTAATTTCAGTGATATTGTAGAGGAGGAGTCAGCAACTTTTAACTGCACGTAGCTTTCACCATAAAATGATGCTGAAAAGCAAAAAACAAAGGAAGTTACTATAAGCTTGCTTGGGTAAAATGGCTTTCCAACATTATGTGTAGCTGGTGTATCTAGCATTAAGAATGTGCAGATCTAAGAATTCATTTTCCTCCCAGGGCAAAAGGATTTACTATGGGCTAAAGCCCATAGTAAGTGTTTGTTGTTTTTGTTGTTGTGTGCCTCCAAGTCATTTTTTAGTGAATTTTAGTGAACATCTGTAGAACTTTCAAAACTTTCTTTCCCTCCCCTTCCTCCTAAAATGCCTGTGCCCGCTACAAAGGTTTGAAAGTCTACTTAGCCCTGCAATGATAGACCCACACACACCTCTAGTTTCACTGGAATCTTCTGTTCAACCACTAGACTCTACCCTTTGAGATTTAAAATGTAAATGCTGCATTCAAAGTGTGGGTCACTGAAGTCTTAAATGCTTTGGTCTTCACTGTATGCCCTGGTGGCACAGTTATTGAATGCCAGTACTGCAGCCATTCACAGCCACAAGGTCGTGAGTTCAATCCCAGGCAGGGCTCCAGGGTCCACTCAGCCTTGCTCCATAGGTTACTAAAATGAACACCCAGCTTGTTTGGGGCAATTAGCTTACACATTGTAAATTGCTTAGGGAGTGCTTAAGTGCACTGATAAGCTGTATAGAAATGTACGTGCTACTTGCTACTAAGATCATGACTTTGGGCCTAAGCAGACTGCCAGAAATAGTGCACATTAAATT